CGCTCCGACGCGCGCTTGAAAAGTGGAGCCAGGTGCACTCTGGCCGCACGACCAAATACTGCTGACGACCCCCAGCTGAGTCGGCCGGCCAATTTCTTGGCTTCAGCTGGTGACATCGCGCCATGGCCTTAAAATGGCGCGAATTTGCGCACTCCACCGCGCGAGCTTTTCGGGGCCAATCGACATGCGCACCGCGCAGCAGCCCTGAACAATCTCGCAATCCGCTCCCAGAATTTGCACAGAGGTGGCGTTCGACACCCGCTTGGAAGCGTCCAGCTCCCACCCGAGCAGGCCCGCGACAACCTCGCACGCCGCGTCGCTGGCGCCTGCTGGCGTGCCCAAGCGCGGCGCACCTGCCAAAACCGGGTCGGCCCCAAAAAGGTCGCCCACGAAGCGAAGAAACACAACGTGAAACAACCTGGCCAGAAAGGCGCGGACAGCCGCGCCAAACCTTTCCCAGTTGTAGACGGAGGCGGCCGCGCCAAAGGGGCACGCCAAAAGCTGAAGCCCCTGGCCGCGGGACTCGGCTGCAGCCCAGGTAACAACAGCAAACTGCAAGCGCGAGCTCGCGAGTGGGAGCGTTTTGAAAGCATTCACGAAATCTTCCTTGCGAAGCGCGGCTCCGCCAGCGCCTGCGAGAATCGTTTTGCTAAGGACAGCTACGAACTGATCTAAACCGTCGTGCTGGACAGCTTCCCCAACGGAAACAGCTGCATTTATATGCGACGCCGTGAAATCGTCGATGCAGCGGACCTTCCTTGAGGCAGCTTCCCAACCCTCGTCGACAGGGAACCCGGCAGCGAGGACGCACGGGTCACGCAGAGGGCGCCACCTAGCGTGACCATCGGCGACCTCATTTTGGCATTTCCCATGAAAAACTGCCTGGACCAACTGCTCCACAGTGGCAGGCCGCCGCACGCGGCGCAGCGTTTCAGAGTTGAGAGAGCGCGCCCGATCCCGCAGCGCAGCTGCTGTCTCGGCACCACTGGGGAAAGGAATGCTCGGGAGCACACCGCTGCGTGGGATTTGGCCCAGAAGGGGGAACCCAACGAGCTGGGCGTCAGGCCAGCCAATTGCCTCGAGCATTTCGGCCAGCACAAGCAGATTCTTCTTCGGACCGAGAACGCCTGGGACGTGCGCGGGCAACCCCGCAAACCTACGCGCCCAAAGCGGGCCCAGCACGCGCTTGCGCTGGCGCCAGTGCTCGAGGCTCTCAGCGCGGGCCTCGGCCACACTGTGCCCATTCAGGCAAAGCAAATGGTGAAGAGGTTCCGCGATTGCAGCGGGAACCCTCTTGGCAAGTCGTCGCACGACGGCAACTGCAAAGCCCAAGCTAGGTGATCCAACGGGGTGAGCCCACGCACCCCAGGACCAGAAAAGAAGCTATGTACAGCCTCACGCACAGCCGCAACGCGAGGGCAATCAAGGCATGCAAAATGAAACTCGGAGTCGGTCGGCGCCAGCTCGCGCACAGGCGCCTCCGTGTCACAGCCAAAACTTGCGCGCGCACGCGCTTGCGCCAGAGTGCCCTTTCCACCAATGCGACAACGCTGTGCACCAGGCACGCGCCCAGATCCACGCCGAGCGGCCACACGCCGCTGGCACGCACGAAAGAGCGCCAATCAACCAACCAACCAGCCAGGACGAGGGAGGAGGAGGACGCGGCGTGGCATCCCCACGCCGACTTCCACCGGCCGCAACGCAGCCCAAGGCGCGGAGCACAGAAGGCACCCGACAGAGACCAGCAGGGCGCCAGGGAGGGCCTGCGGAGATCCAACGGGACCCCCCACGAATCCGCAGCCCCGCTTTGGGAGCGCCCACGGGCGTGAACCTACTAGCAAGAAGGCCAGTAGGCAATGAGGCAACAAGTGGCAAATGCACAACATCCCTGCTCCTCAAATTTCCCTGCCCCCCAAATTGCTGCGCAATCTAGGGGCGACGAAAATCGCCGCTCGAGCTTTTGCTTCTCGCGGCGCCTGGGTGTCTGAGTCTTGCCCCCCTTCAAAAAGTGGCCCCCAGACCTGTCCCGGAGCGCGTCCTGACAAGGATCTGCGGTCAGGAATAGTGGCTCAGTGTGTCGGGTCGCCAGTTCTGGCCCACGACGTTTCGGCGCGACACGCTGTCCACGTCCCAGCGAGCGTCAATGTCCCGAGTTGTCCCCAGCCTTCTGCCACGCGAACCGGAGCGACACGCTATTCCTTTGCAGGGCATAGCGCGTCGCCGGGAACGCCGCCACAACGCGCTAAGCAAAAGTTCCAGACCGTAGATGCGGAGTTTGCCATCCGAGTGCGCCCCAGGGCCCCCCCAAAGGCAGCAATCAAATTCGGCCAGGACAAACTCGGCGAGGCCGAGCTCGCCCAGTTGAACTCGGCCAGGTTGACTTGGGCCAAGCTGAATTCGGCCCAGGCCGAGTTCAGCCTGGTTCAGTTCAGCCGTCCGAGTTCAGCCTGGCCGAGTTTCGCCTGGCCATGCCTCTCCCTTGCCCAAGACGGCCGCACACGAAGCCCAAAGCCTTCTGCAGCCGCTGTGGCTCAAGAGGGCTGCGCAGGCTGCAGGCGGACGTTGCGCGGGGCCCTGCAGGGGGGCACGATGTCGGACGAGCCGACGATCCGTTTCCGAGGCACTCGCGACAAGGACGCGGAGTTCCTGAAGGAGAACGCCAAGAAGGAGGGGGTGGTCCAGCTGCCGTCAGGGCTGCAGTATCGAGGACGCCTACGGCGAATCACCGTCGCCCCCTGCCTTTTGGAAAAGCCTACGTTGCCGAACGTTGCGGCCAAAGCTCCGCCAAACTATCGGATTGTGTGTTCTCCCAGCCGTTGCGGAAACATTTCGGGGAGAACGTGGGGGAGAAAAAAGGAGGAGGAGGAGGAGGAGGAGGAGGAGGAGGAAGCCTCTTGGGAGCCTCTTGGGGCACTCTGCGAAGGTTTCTTGGGGGTTTCCTTGGGGGCGTCCTTCGGCCTTTCCGGGGCCTTCTGGGGGCTCCTTGGGAGATTACTTGGCCGTCTGAGGGTGTTCCTGGCCCGTCTGACGCTGGCGGAATCCGTCTTGGGGGCCTCTATTGACCGATTTGCCCTCTTGGGGCGCTTCAGGGCCGTCTTGGACGCTATCTTGGGCGTCTTGGAGATCTCCTGGGCCCTCTTGGGCCGTCTTGGGGGCCTCTTGGGCCGTCAGGGGGCCATCTCGGAGGCCTCTTGGGCGCTTTGGGGACCATGTTGGTAGCCTCTGGGGCCGTTTTGGGCCGTCGGAGAGCCAAAAAAGAGCAAACGCCAACCGTATTGGGGCGTCGGGACGTCGAAAAGAAGCAAACGTCAAAATCTGACACAAACTAATGAACATCAATGATGTTGGCCTCTTCTGGCCTTCCTGGATGTCCTCTTGAAGGCCTCAGGGTTCGTCTTGGAGGCCTCTGAGGGCGTCTTGGGCGATTGTGATGCCATCTTGGCCAATATTGAGGCCATCTCGACCCATATTGGGGGCATCTCGGTCCGTCTTGGAGACATCTTCGTGCCTTCTCGGGCTCTGTTGGGCCATCGCAGCCGCCTTGGAGACAATACTGGCCGTCTTGGAGGCCATCTCTGAGCCGTCTGGAGCGAGAAGACCGACGACCTGGGAATTCTTACGGGACCTTACAGTCGGAGCGCTGAACAAGGAACCCGTTCCGTTGGGGAGGGGCTCCGTGCTCCGTCCTTGTTTCGCAGTTTGCCTTAGGTTGTCCTCAGGCTTTCGTTAGGGAATCGAGGTTTAACCTGTGGAAAAAAGGGACCTCGTTCCTTATCTAGGGTTAAGTCGGGCCTGTCCCCCTACAGGGAGATTTTGGACGAAAAATTAAAAATACCCCAGAAATGCCCACAAGATGCCCAACAATACTCAGAAAATAGTCCCCGGAATATTTTTTGACTATTCTTGAATATTCACCCTGTAGAGGGACAGGCCCGACTTAAATCTGGGGCTCCTTGGGGTCAACGCTCCGACGGCAGGGGGCGGAAAGACCCACACCAGCGGAGCCGGGAATCTTCTGGGCGGCCGGCGCACGAGGCCGAGGGCCTCTCTGGGAGCCTCCTGTGCACCCCCCGTGGCAAGCCACGGGAGGCGGAGGATCTGGTGGCATTCTGCCTGTCCCGCTATTGTGCGTTGGACCGATCAGCAGGCTCTGTCGATTGTGTCCCACTTAAGCAGGGCCAAGACAGCGACGATCCGCGCGGCAGAAGACAGGAGCACGGCAGAACACACCTGACGTGCGGCGAGGCGCACAAAACACCTGCGCGGTATCCGGGCGCCAGGGACAATGCACAGCTTGCCAATAGGGCCCCCAGGACTGTACAAGAGGCTTCCGAGTGAGCAGGCTCTGTCAGAACGCTTTTGAGTAGAGGACTGGTACCATGGTGTACATAGGGCGTTCGGCTGTCGCCGAAAGTCTGGGTGGCTCTGGTGTTAAGTCGGGCCTGTCCCCCTACAGGAGGAATACTCAGGAATAGTCAAAAAATAGTCTGGGGATTTTTGTTGGGGGGTATTTTTTGACGATTTTGGAGTATGTTTTGAGTATGTTTTATTTCTCGTCGAAAACCCCCCGTGTAGGGTGACAGGCCCGACCTACATCTAGTGGCATTCTGCCTGTCCCGCCACTGTGCGTTGGACCGATCGCTCGAAGCCTCGAGGCCCTGTTGGACCGTCTTGCGAGAGGACGCGCCGGGGCCCTGGAGGCGCGCCGGGAGCCCCAGCAGATTCAAGAATTTTGCACGGGCCCCTTAGTGGTTCAATTCTGAGGACTGAGTGCTATAGAGGACCTGGGGACACCCCTTCTCGTGAACCAAGGCACGGTAGCGGACAAGGTGCTGAAGGAGCAGACCGACAAGTCGAAGCCCTGCCCGACCAAGAGCACCCCGTGCAAGTGCCACTACAGCGGGAAGCTCGTGGACGGCACCGAGTTCGACTCGTCCTACAAGCGCGGGAAGCCGACGACCTTCGCCCCGAACCAGGTCGTCCCCGCCTGGACCGAGGCCATGCAGCTGATGCGCGCGGGGGACAAGTGGGAGCTGTTCGTGCCCGCCGCCCTCGGCTACGGCGAGAGGGGCACGCCTGGCGGGCCCATCCCGGGGGGCGCCGCGCTGATCTTCACGATGGAGATGGTGGAGGTCGGGTCCTCGGACCCGAGGGGGCGCAAACACGGCTTGGGGCGCGTGGATCGGCGACGGGCCCCGCCGCCGTGCAGAGGCGGCGCGCCCCGGCGCCAGAGGAGGCGGCCCTGGCCTCCCTGCTTCGGGGGGGGGGGCCCCTCCCCGATCCGTGGGACCTGGCGCCCCTGCGCCAGAGCCCACGGCTCCGCAGTCCTTGTTCTTGGCATCGCTCGGACGCGTGCATTTTTCCTTCCGCTAGGGCCATCGAGGAGCACCCTTGATCATTCGGCGAACAAAAAAAACACGCACGGAACCGAACAAAAAAACACAGGGAATGGACGTCCGAGCGATGGCGAGCGTCAGCGCGTGCCCGAGAGGACGACGACTGGGGCGGCCCGCCGACCTGGGTCTGGGTGCTGCTGGGGCTCCTCGTCCTCGGCGGCGTCCTCGCGGGCCAGCTCGGCCTCCTCGGCGGCGGCCCCACCGCGCCGCGGGGCCCGGTCGTCAGCCTGGAGGAGGCCAGCCGGCCCGAGAACCCGCGCGTGTTCTTCGACGTGCAGATCGGCGGCGAGGCTCTCGGGCCGGGCGAGGGGGGGAGGGATTGGGCGAGGGGGGGGTACGAAATCTGCTGCATGCGGCTGGTTTCGGCCTCACCGAGGGGCCCCTTCCTCGATGCATAATTCTAGGCCTCCTGGATGGGGTCGGAGCAGATGGGGTCGGAGGATCGCGCCGCATCGCCGATGCATCGGCGATGCGGCTCGATGCGGAGCCCGTGCTTCCCCACGCGGACGTCGCCGATGCATCGCCGACGTCGCCGATGCATTGCTGGTGCATCGCCGATACATCGCCGATGCATCGCCGATGCATCGGCGATGCGGCGCGATCCTCCGACCCCATCTGCTCCGACCCCATCAACGAGGCCTCTAACATAGCCGCCTCCAGCGCCGGGAGGCGCCGAGAAAATCAGCTACGTGAGCTGATTCTCAAACCCCCCCCTTTGCTATCCCCCCCTTTCGCCCGACCTGAGAGGCGGCGGGCCGCATCGAGATGGAGCTGTTCAGCGGCGTGGCGCCGAAGACCGTGGAGAACTTCCGGGCGCTCGCCACTGGCGAGAAGGGGGTCGGCAAGGCCGGCAAGCCTCTCCACTACAAGGGCAGCGTGTTCCACAGGATCATCCCTGGCTTCATGTGCCAGGGAGGCGATATCACGAAGGGGAACGGCATGGGGGGCGAGTCGATCTACGGGCACAAGTTTGCAGACGAGTTCGAGATTGGGATGGTGAAGCATTCGGAGCCGTTCCTGCTCTCCATGGCGAACGCTGGCAGGGACACCAACGGGTCGCAGTTTTTCATCACGGTCGGGAAAACGCCGCACCTGGACGGCAAGCACGTGGTGTTCGGCAAGGTTATCGGCGGTGTGGATGTCGTGAAGAAGATGGAGAAGGCTGGGTCCTCAGGCGGGC